GGAAGAAGAGGACAGGCTTCGGATGCCACATTAAAGAAGTGGACGTGTAACCATCGAGTGGTCTTCATCAGTCAGAACATGAGAAAGTCCACTTGGCTATTCTGGGAAGGAAAGTGCAACAATTTAAGTACGACATGGCTGGATCTTGCATGTTAAGGGCTGGCAGGGAATCTGGAGGAACAATAAGGTCTGCAGAGTTTCCAGGCCTTGGGAGAAATCAAAGCTGATTCCAGACAGCTCTCCTGTGACTAGCTCAGAGCTACGTTCTCAAGTGTATCTTATTTTCTTCGTGAGCATCATTCTTTGAATCTTACAATCTCCATTCAAGTTTCCTAATATACCCCCATGGAAGCTGGTTCTAGTCTCTGGCTTGGGCCACTAGGTAGGTAGATAGATGGTGGAATGTGACCAGCAACAGGAGATGCTGGAAAACGAGGAAGAAGAAGAACACGGACTAGATGGCAGACTGTTGGGGCTTCACATTACCCATCCATAGGATGTCTGAGTGCAAATGTCTGCGGCGCAGTTGCATCGATGGGTTCAATGGTAAAGTTTTAGCTTTGGAGTCATCAAATACCTAGGTGGTAATTAGGGTTGTGAGAATAGAAAGAACCAGAACAGTGGGACAGGAGTATGAAAGAGCAGAGGCCTGTGGAAGGAATCCTTAGGGAGCACCAGCATTTAAAGGAGCAAGCCGAAGAGCAGGAGCCTGAAAGAGAGACCAAGTAGCAATAAGATAGAGGGGCGGGGGTGGATAAAGCTGGCCGGGCCAAAACTGGAAGAGCCGAGGGCAGAGTATCACAAGAAAGCCAAAGTAATGTTTCACATTAAAATCAAAGATAAAAATCAAGTCGCAATGAAATCGGCCACCAATCTACAACTGCAGGCCTGGAAGAGAGGCCCTTTTTGTGGAGAGCTGGAGGCAGAAGCCAGATTGCAGTGGGCTGAGGAAGTAAGTGAGGGAGGAGGAAGAGGAACAGTAGATTCAGAAATGTTTCTTTCCTGTCAGAGACAAACCTCTTGACAGGGAGGAACTGGCAAGAAAGAGCAGAGCTCAAAAAAGGGACTTCATTGGGCGGGAGTATTTCCAAGCAAGGTAGACAAAGGAAGAAGAAGAGAGTCAAGAGGGTGAAGATACAGGAACAGAGGAACAGAAGTCTGGAGGATGGGGCAAAGGAGGAAGGACCACGACTAAACGGCCAGGTAGAGGCACACCTCCTTCTGGGAGCATATGAAAGCTGGGGAGGTGAAGGAGAGAAACAAAGGAGCTTCTATCAGAGACAAACTTGCTTTCCCCCAGCTCAGGAGCTCTGGGGCTCTGAGCTGCCTATCCACAGAGTGGTGGGAAGCTGCCATTCCTAAAGCAGAACAGGTTCTGTGGGCTACCAGGGGCCATTTGAATGCCTTTTCCTCCCACAGATATTCTCCCTGGCTTGCTCACGGGTGTCTGACATTTCCTGAAAGGAGATAGAATTATGGTAAAGGGCAACACATGGTAATTTGAAATGCAGGACTGATGACACAGAGCAGATGCTTCCATGGGTCTATGGCTCCCACCTGCATAATAAAAAGCACTTTCGATTCTGATGTGAGTAACACACCAGTGATTATTCATCTTCAGTGGTCAAAACAAAACTCACTACTTGGGTAGTGGGAAGAGAATCATGAAGGCCACCAATACAAGCAAAGTGGCCGTGGTCCTGTTTTGTAGTCTCCTGTTGATTGATTGATTTGGTATTAGGAATGAAAGTGGAGCCAAATCACATACCCAGCTTTCCTTTTTTTCTTTTTTAAAAGGAATGCTCTTGCTATGCATCCTTGCATTGTGCAGTACTAGCTAGATACCCCATAGCAATCCTTCTGCCTCAGCCTCCCCAGTGCTGGGATTCCAGGCATGCGCCACCATGCCTGATTTTGCCTATTTGTTTTTTGAGAACAGGGAAGAAGAGAAAGAACATATTGGAAACCTGTCTTAAACAACAGGAAAGCCAGATGAAGAAAGTGGGAACAGAGGACAGTTCCTAACTGCCACCCAGTAGAACAAAGCCCCAGCTCAGGGTCTCTGTGAGCCTGGCTGACTAGAGCGGCTATATATGGCAGGAAGGGGCTAAAGCAGTGATGACCAGCAGAGTGGTTTCTCAGGGCCTCCTTCCTTCCCGGCTTTTCTAAGCAGGGTGGTAGCTCTTCTGGCAGATGTTCAGACACAGAGATGGAACAGTCGAGCAACACTGGTGACCCAGGTATGACTTCGGGCCCTCTAGCTAACTCCCATGCCTCTCCTCCCCTGCTGATTCTCCAGGGAAAGGCTTTGTGAGCTGGGCCAGGCTGGCCTGGTCTGGCATGAGTGGTACCTGAATGGTTTGCTGTCCGGGTCGGTGTCCTTGAAGCCCATCTCCTCCAGCTTGCAGCGGCGGTACAGTTCATAGTGCCGGGTGTGGGTCTGCTCCCGCAGATCCTCCATGTTCACCCGAATCAGCATCTCCCGCAGTTTCACAAAGTCGCAGTGGGCCTCATTTTCAACTGCATAGCAGGGATGGGGGCATTGGAAGTATGTTGAATGGAAGGCCGGCAGAAGAAGAAACGGATGAAGTGAGACATAAAATGTCTAATGGTGACATCACCTGGCAGCGTCTTTCTATGGCACCCACACATTTAACCTATTTCCATTTTCTGTGAAAATGGGAATGACACTTTATGAAAGGGCAATGCTACTGTGCAAATATCTAAGAACTTTCACTAATGCCTCAATACAAATTGGCCAAGCAGACTTCCACAGGAATATCTATCTGTTCCGCACTGCTTTGCAGATGCCAACACGTGCACAACTATCTATCCATCCGCCCAATAAATATTTGGGGAACCTCTGTTCCCAGTATTCTCTGTGGCCCAGATAATTCAGAAGTGAAGTCCTGGGGCTATTCCTTTAGGAACCTGCAGCTTAGTGGGAAAGCACATGTAAAACAGAACAACATAAGGCAAAGCCAGAATTACAAACATGGGAGAATGGCTGCAGTGCACTAACAGCCCAGAAGAGGGGGACCTAGGAACTCCCAGGAGAGCATAGGCTTCCCCAAAGACAAAACCTCTTGGAGGACTCTGGAAGGAAGAATAGGATTTATCAGGCAGATAACAGAACACAATCTTCACAAGGTCTCCAGAAGGCTAGGAAAGGTCACATGGTGAGCAAGTTGCAGAATTAAACTTCAAATCCACGCAGTGCAGGGGAGAGGCAAAGACCATAGATAGAGTCTCCAGAGAGCAAGGCAAAAGAACTAGGGTAGCAAAAGGTGATGGAGACAAGGAGGGGCAGACCTCAGGTGTGGCCCATGTGGGTAGTAGAAACTTCCAAGGAGGTGTTTTTACCAAGGGTGGATAATGGTCTGACCACTTCAATTGTAAGCAGGAGAGAGTGGGTGCCACTTCTTGGCTTTGTGGGCAAAGGTCTGCATTTTGGGTAGTAGACAAGAATGTAGGAGTTGTAGACTAAATCACAGCACAGTGAACTTCTGGCCAGAGCAATTCTGCAAGCAGGGCTCAGTCAGGATGTCTCCAAACCTGGATCCACTGTGTTGGGAGATAGTGTTTGGCCATGTAAAGGGGGATGGTGGTGTCTGAGATGATGAACAGGTAAGTTACTCAAGATTCTGTCTCTCAGGGCCTGGGAGAGGACAGTAGGGACAGAGAGGAGGTGTTCTGGAATGACAAAGTTGAGTATATTTGTACCATTATAGATAGTCAGATATGGTCATCAGAAGTATTTGTCCAGAGTCCAGAGTGGTCCATGTACTCTTTCTACTTAAGACCCCTTACATTCAGGACTGAACTCTACCTGTTGCCTCCGAACATAAACTAATATGAAAAGCTGCATCAATAAAATAACTGCTTGGGACCTCTAGAATATATATATATATTCTAGAGGCAGGCATGATGGTACACACCTGTAATTTTGGTACTTAAGAGGTGGAGAAAGGAAGGTCAGACGTTCAAGGCTAGCTTCAACTACATAGTGATTACAAGGTCAACCTGGACTACATAAGACCCTATTTTTTAAAGACAGAAAAAAAAAACCTCTTTTTAAGGCTCCTAATCAGTGTCCAACTGCTTCTTCATTCAAAAAGAATAGTCAACTCAGTAGTTCAAAATAAATAACAACAAAACTCAATTTGGGATAAGAGCAGGATAGTCCAAGTTGGAGGAAGGAAGTCACTGGAACTGTATCTGCTGGTTCGTCTCCTCCAGCCTCAGGTTCCTGTCTTTCAGGCCACAGACTCCCAAGGTGTGACTGTTGATCCAGAAACCACTTCCCAATGTTCCTAGTATAACATCCTATGGTGGTTTGAATGTAATGGTCCCTCATAGTCTCATAGGGAGTGGCACTATTAGGAGGTGTGGCCTTGTTGGAGGAAGTATGTCACTGTGGAGTCAGGCTCTGAGGTCTCATATATGTTCAAGTTATGCCTAGTGTCTCAGTTCACTTCCCGTTGTCTACAGGTCCAGATGTAGGACTCTCAGCTCCTTCTCCAGTACCATGTCTGCCTGCATGCTGCCATGTCCTGCCATGATGACAATGGTTGTATAGCTCTGAAATTGTAAGCCAGCCCCAATTGAATGTTTTCCTTTATAAGAGTTGCCATGGTCATGGTGTCTCTTCACGGCAATAGAACGAATGGTGGGGAGAAGCAAAACTTAGCATAGTTCTGCTAAAGAGTGTTCTCCTACCTACAGGACAGCCAGACAGGGGATGTAGCTCAACAGTAGTTTTCATCTAGCATGCGTGAGGCTTGGCTTCAGTCTCTGACACTGTAACAAAAAAGAACTGAGGACATAGCTTAGTGGCAGAGCACTTGCCTAGCATGCATGAGACCCCGTGTTCTATCCTTAGCACCACAAAAGTAAGAAAAGGAAAGAAATCCAGCTACTGTGAGTGGGGCTTTGCTGTGTCTTGAATCATGTCAGCCTTTTTGCTTTTGGAAACACACCCTCCCAAGGCTGCCTTTAAACTCACGATCCTCTCATGTTAGTTGCCCCCACCTCCCAGTACTGGACTTACAGATGGATGCCACCCTTCTTGAGTGCCCACTTTCCTTTATTTGCCCAAAGATTGGGATGAATTTACAGAGAATCTGCCAGCCATGGCCCAGGTTATAGCTACAAACTCAGGGCCACAAATTTCTGCCCACTGCAGTGTCCTAGGGCTCATGTTACCTACTGAACTGAGTAGCATAGTATGTGTGAGACAGACCCCAAAAAGAATTGTCATGAGTGTCTGTAGTATATATCTGATTCTTTAAAATTATGAAATAATCATAAATATAAGAGAGTACATGAAATGGGTGTGTGCAATTTAAAGAAGTTTAAATTTTTAAAAATATCTCCACAACCAGAGTTAATGTTACCAGTACCTTGGAAGCCCCTGCTGGCCTCTTTTTGATCCCATGCCTCTCTCTCTATTCCCAGCCTCCTCTGGCAATGAAACTTAGGCACTATCCTGACTTTGTCGTTTATCCTTCATTTCTGTATTTTTTTAAATTTTAATTTGTTTAGTGTGAGGGGATGTGGGTGTGTATGTGTGCACTCCTGTGGGTGCTGGTGTTTGTGTCAGAGGACAACTCTTAGAAGTCAGTTTTCCCCTTCCACTGTGTGGGCTCTGGATATCGAACTTGGGCCATTAGACTTGGAGGAAAGTGCCTGTACCCTGCCCCCACAAGCCATCTCACTGGTCCCATGTTTTAAGATTTATTTTTATTCACACTTGTGTGTGCGTGTGTGTTAAAACGGGTTTCATCATTCATCACTCACATAGGAATTTATAAAAATATGTATCATGTTATTTTAGCCTACTTTTGGAATTCATACAAATAGAAACCTATCATATACATTCTTGTGTGGTTTTATTTAGCTCAGCATTGTGTTTCTGAGATCCATTCACACAGATGTTACTGCAATTCATGCATTTTCATTGCTGTCTAAGATCCCATTACATGAGCATTTCACAAATTACCCAGTCTATTTTTATGGACACCTCATTTTTCGTAATAATTTATCATTATGAATAACACTGCTACGAACATTCTTGTGCCTCTCCATATAGTCCTTTCTATGTTGTCCCAAGTCCATTTGTCATTTGGTTTTTTTTCTGGGGGGGAGGTATAAGGAAGTACTTTCTCCATTAGAGACAAAAGGAGTCTGCTTATATCATAGAATCTGGGCACGGGGCCAGAGCTTGCTGCTAGAAACCCCTATGGCTGTTTAAGACCCAAAATGAGTAGTAGAGGCTGGGACAAGCTAGGAACTTGTTATATCATGGCAGGGGGAAGCACACACAAAAAGATGGGGCTCTGTGGGTGCAGCCCATCTGCAGGACACTCACCCTGCACAGTTCCCCAAGGATACTGCCGTGCCCTCATCATCTTGTTGCCAATCTTCACTTCTTCTGTGCTGCCAACAACAGCAAATGGTAGGTGGGCCTAGAACAGAGGCAAACAAGCACTCAGAACTGCAGAAAAAAAAAGGCATTGAACAAACACCGCACGATGCGAATGCTGTTCATCTCTAGGCCGCTGGGTCTTTCCTCTGTGATACCACTCACTGCACCAGCATCAGCACTGAGAGGCATTTATGAAGCTCCAGAGCTCCGCATCCATGCAGGGATGAGACCTAGTTCTTGGCCCTCTGTTCTAGATAGCAATGGCATGTTGGAAGACATAGGGAACAGAGCAGGAGCAGGAGCAGATACATGACCTAACAACCTATATTCACCAATCACAGTTGCTGGGGAGTGCGTTTATTTATGAGCACCAGAAGGGGGTTGGGTACAGAGTCTGGCATCACTGCTCTCTTTCTAGAGTTTGAGAGCACAGTCTAAAGCCACTCGAGTGGGCAAAAGCAAAGACAGTCTAGCTCAGTGGCAAGGCATCATCCAATCTTCACCTACAAGCTTGGATGGTGCACTCACTATAAGGGACATAAAGAAGTAGAAGACACTTCCTTGCACTTGGCGAACCTGTACTCTAGTTGGTGAAGCCTAAATTACACACTCAAAATCCTATCAGATAGTATGTGATCAAGGGCAAATAATAGGTGCTTCATAAATACTCCTTGAATAGAGGGTGGCAGGGCTATCTGAGTGGGAAGGGGATGAAAGGGGAAGTTCAAGCAGGGTCATGAGCTTGGTGCTTGCAGGAGAGATGAGGGGCAGTGAATGCAGAGGGCTAGACTGAGGGAAGAGGTGAGAATGAAAACCATGTTGTATCATCATCTGCTTGTATCCCGGGCTCTCAGCGCTAAGAGACGGAGGAGGACTGTGTGTGTGAAGAAGGAGGCACTTCTCTAGACTCAAGAAGAAAGAAAAAAAAACACAAGAAGAAAATAAAGGCATAGGAAATGCCAATCTTCCCTAGGGCCTGCTATTTTTATCATCAAGGGACACTCAGAATGACAGGGTCGCTCGCTTCCCCTCTTCCTCAAACTGCTGTCATTTGATTCTCCTAGCTCCCTGACTATTCTCAAGCACACAGCCCCCACCAAACTGAGTTCTAAGGCCTCATAAAACCACCCACAGCACACTCCTTTGTAATTGGCATCAAAGATGGTTCTGGAAAGTACAGGCAAACAGATCATCTTATTAACCTTATTTATTATCGGAGGGAGCCAGGATAGAGCATAAAGGAGTCATGCATGTTCTAAACTATGTCTTCCCAGTAAGTACTGAGGCCACCACACTTTGACTGCCAGCCTTCCCGAGCCACCTAGAGTGGTCTTCATTCGATGTCCTGGCTAAATAGCATCTGCTGGAAGTCAACTTAACAGGCCAAGCCAGGAGTCACTGGGAACAAGCTCTGACCATGCTGCTCTTGAAAGACATGTGGCTATGACAACCAGAATGGAATCAAGCAAGAGAGAGAAGAGTTTAAACTTTCAATCACACTACCAGGTCCTACCCATGATTCCTCCAAATGGAAGCTAGACTTTCTTCCTTTTTTTCAGGTCCCTTCAGGGAGCTGACAAGTGATGTTTCATATATGTGGCCCCAGGGAGGAGACTCTTGATAGTTGCAAGACAAGGTCCCTGCTGACACATGACTAATAGGGGGAGCCCAGGTGACTCTACCTAAACCTATGACGAGGGACACTGAGATATGTGATCTCCCAGATGCAGAATCTTTCACAATACATAGCCTCAGGCTTAACTTAGGAGTCTGGCCCCAGATTCACTTAGTCCATTTTGTACAGCTACAACAAAATATCTGAGACGAAGTAATTTATAAAGACATAAATAGATCCCATAGGTCTAGAGACTGGAAATCTAAGCTCAAAATAGTAGTACATTTGAGTATCTGATGAAGGTCTTCTTGTTACATCCTCCCATTGCAGAAGGTGGACGATCAAGCTAGCTCAATTCTACATAAAGTCTTGCTTATAAAGGCCCTTGACCTCATTAGTGAGGGAGCCGCCCTTATGGCCTACCTAACCACTAAAGGCCTGATGTCTCTTCTTCTGAAAAGAGGCTTATTTTTCACTGTGTATGTGTATGTCTGTGTGTGAGTATGTGCATGTGAATGCAGGTTCCTACAGAGGCCAGAAGAAAGGGTTGGATCTCCTGGAGCTGGAGTTACAGGAGGTTGTGAGTCATGGGTCCTAAGGCTCTCTGGAAGAACAGCCAGTGCTCTTAACTTCTGAGCCATCTCTCCAGCCCCCTCTTCTTTTTAAAATCAACCCAAGCTGAGCTCAGGGCTTTTGCACATGTCAGGCACATGCTCTACCACTGATATATATATATATATATATATATATATATATATATATATATATATATATCTATGTCTGTTTTTTAA